CCAAATAGAGATTTTTTTTTTCATGTGACATGAACTCCATAAATAGGCAGTTAAGGGCTGCTTACCCCAAAAAAAGAAAAAAAAAGTGAAAAATTCAGGCTCCTACTTTCCAGATTCTCCACCCTTAACGTGTGACTTCTGTTCTTGTGGTCGCAATATTGCTGGGCCCCTGTCCAGACATTAGATCTGTATTCCAGGCAGGAAAAAAAAAGGGGGTAATGGAAAAGAAAGAATGATCCATTTGAATCTATCCCTTTTCTGCACATTCTTAGGGGCATCACCAAGTAACTTCAACTCACATGTCATTGACCATTCCTAATCCTAAGAGAATGTGAGAAGTTCAGCATTTTTCTTTAAACTGGGAACAGATCTTTGTAAGTAAGAAAAAAGGAGAGAATAAATGTTGGATAGGTAACTAGTTGTATCTGCCACAAACTGAAAAATTAGGAAATTACTTGCATTTGAGATAGGCAAGAGTTAGCAAAGGGATTTGATTTCATTTCCATATACTTGTCCATTTTCTTTTCATGGAAGTAGTCTTTTTATATTAATTATACACTATGACACACAATTGTTTTTTCTTCAATGACTAGGATATCTTAGTAGAAAAGGAGGGCAGAATAAAATTTATTTTATTAGGATATTGTTTCATGTAACTGAAGAGGACATGGAGAGATACATTTACTTTTAGTTTCTTACTAAATTATATGTGGCCCATTTACTAAATATTCTAGTCCAATATACTAGATGTCATTAAAATGGTTAAATAATTTGTAAAATAGTCAAAAATGAAGTTTAAGGACAAAATTTTCTATACTAGAAATTGATTAGCAGTGTAGGCAGTTAGTAGATATGGGAGTGTTAGGATCTATTTAAGAGATACCTAGAAATCTTTTCTATCCAAATAATTCCATCTTTCAAGTCCTAGCTCAAGTTTCTCTTCAGTAAGTTACTTTCTGACCAGGTCAATCTCTTTTCTAAAGCTGTTTCCCTTAGTGCATCATACAACTTTGTCCCGGAACATGCACTAATTTGTATTTTTCTCTAATTTTTTATATATGTCAGTCCAATACCCCAATTACACTGCATACTCTTACCTTTTCCCTATGTCCTCACAGTGTTCAAAGAAAGGGCATAGTGTTTATTTGAGCTAACCTCAATTGAATGTCCTATAAAATTAGTGCAAGTTCAGAGGTTTTTTTTTTTTTTCCAAAGAGAAGTTGATAACAAATTAAAGCCAATAATAAGACATATAAATTTTATAAGAAAAATGAAATATAATAACAGAGCCCAGAAGATTTTAAACTTATATTTCTGATTTTCATTTCAATAATTTTTTAAATTTACACCAAAATGAGAAGGCTGGTGAAACTTTTGTAGGCATTAATTATTTTTTTTTTTTTTAAAGACAGGGTTTCATTTCCATCGCCTAGGCTGGGGTGCAGTGGTGTAATCTTGTCTCACTATAACCTCCACCTCCCAGGCTCAAGGGATCTTCCCGCCCCAGCCTCCCAGGTAGCTGGGACTACAGGTGTATGCCATCAGGCCCAGCTAATTTTTGTATTTTTTTTGTAGAGATGGGGTTTCACTATATTGCCCAGGCTAGTCTCAAACTCCTAAACTCAAGCAATCCACCCACCTCAACCTCCTAAATTGCTGGGAATACAGGCCTGAGCCAGCACACCTGGCCTAAAACGTCCAAAAGTAGATAATATATCTTTCTATGCTGTCAGTTAGAATTACCTTACTAAAGCTAATGATAACAATCCTACTCCACCTCAATACTTCAAGAAAAGGGAGTTAGTAACCAAGACCTGGGCTTCCTTCTATCTGGTTAGTTATGAGCTACACTTGGAATTTTAAACTGAAATTCCCCATTTTAAGATGCTGCTACTGGATGGACATGGAGGCTCACTCCTACAATCCCAACTTTTTGGGTGGCCGAGACGGATCACTTAAGCCTAGGCGTCAGAGACCGACCTAGGCAACATAGCTCTATAGGGAGACCCTAGCTCTATAAAAAGTTTTATTAGCAGGTGTGGTGGTGCATGCCTGTAGTCCCAGCTACTCAGAAGGCTGAGGTGGGAGGATCACTTGAAGCCAGAAAGTCAAAGCTGCAGTGAGCTATGGTCACACCACTGCACTCTAGCCTGGATGACAGAGCAAGACTTTGTCTCAAAAAAAAAGAGATGCTGCTACCTCCACGTGGATCTCAAAGACGTAGTGAATATTTGGCAGACAATGTTTCCTGTTTTAGTTATCTATTACTAAATATATATTAGCACTTCATAATAAACTATCCTAAAATGTAACTTCAAATGAAAACCTTTGGTATTTTTTTTTAAGCACCAGAGTCTATGAGGCATTTTATTTGTAAATATGTATTACATTTCTAAAAAAGAACCCCAGGATTTTCCCTCCTGTGTGATTTCTTCTTGCTTCTTCACGGTCCATGATGCCAGCTGAGGTTGTCAGTACAATAAAACCAAACTGGCAGGATAGAAGCAGATTATTCTGCCATTTTTCTAGGTGTTTGAGTTGTACATCAAATATGGGGTTGATTACTCCACACTTGTTTAGCCTGCCTGTGAGGTTCACAACAATTTTTCCCAGCTGTGTGATCATCAATGACTTCAAATTCGCCAATATAACCATACTTCACCATCACAGTGAGCTCACTGGGGATGACTCACTTCTGTTCCTCATGGTGTTGGGAAGGCTTGACGAGAGATAGAGATCCAAGAAGGCCTCACTCATATGTGCTGGATGCCTCAGTTCTCTTTCTCTGGCCTTTTTCCTGTCTAGGTGGTTTCCGGACAGGGGAACATTTGGGAGTGATCCGTCATACTTCCCTTTATTATCCGAGTCCTATCTTCAACATGCCATCATCACTCAGGCTAGCATCATCACCCAGTCTTATCAGATATTGCCAAATTATGATGCCTCATAACTTACTGTGACTATCCCCACTGCTCATGAAAAAGCACAGAAAGGAATAGATACTTCTCAGGGAGGTCCCTGTTCATCTTTACGGCCTTACTTTAGTCTTCTCAGAAGGTACCTTTTTACTTCAAACTCCCTCAGTGCAAATATCCACCCTCAATCAACATGGGTTGGTGTTACTCCAATTCACTCCCCTCTTTCTATAACGCAAGTCTTAGGATGCAAAACCAAGCAAAGTCTGAGTTAATCTATCTAGAATACCACCATGGAGTCAGCCACAGTCAGGCCCCTCAACAGAACAGACTAGCCTGAATTTTCGAACCTATGTCTCTCCCTGCCATAAGCAACTAGTCCACATGCAACTTGGAAGCAGCCACTGTAGATCTCGGCTTCTTTCTTGCTTCCTCCTCAATAGTTACTGCTACTGATTTAGTGCTGAAGAGATAGAAACATCATTTAAACCATCTCTTTACACAAATCCACTTAGAATAATTTTTCCCCTAGAGAATCTATTATTGAAGTACAGGGCCTTATTGTTTATTCTACTGTAGACCACAGGACACCGTGTTCTTCAGGTTAGAATTGAGTACTTGAAAAACTGTGTGAATAGCTTCTTGAACTGTACATGTGAATTCTCTCTATTTTCCAACTAAAGATTGAGTCTAAAATGATAGCATTTTGTAATTCTGAACGATTTGCATTTGCAGGTGGATTAGTGACAAAGTCTTACTCGTTTTTAAGTGTTAGTTCTGAGGGTTTCCCCCCAGGATTGCTGCTAGATAATATTGCACCTTTGTGCTAATGAGTAAAAAGCTGATCCTCTAGGTTGATGATGTCTCATACCAAGGCTCCAGGCAGAGTGGGGTGCAGCTCAGTCCCCAGTCAGCTTCTTAGCGGGGCATTCTAGATGTTTAACCTTTTCTTTTTTAAAAATTCTTTCTTTGAGACAGAGTTTCGCTCTTGTTGCCCAGGGGCTGGAGTGCAGTGCTGCAATCTCTGCCCACGGCAACCTCCGCCTCCCGGGTTCAAGCGATTCTCTTGCCTCTTGCCTCAGCCTCGGGAGTAGTGGGATTACAAGCATGCGCCCCCACGCCTCACTAATTTTGTATTTTTAGTAGAGACAGGGTTTCTCTGTTTTTGCCAGGTGGTCTCGAACTCCCGACCTCAAGTGATCTGGCCGCCTCGGTCTCCTAAAGTGCTGGGATTACTGGCGTGAGCCACTGCATCTGACTAGATGTTTGATCTTTTATGTTGACATGTTGATATCACTTCCGGTAGCCATTTATTATAACTACTAAATTAAATTTACATAATTGAAGGATCTAAAAAGACCAGAAGTTCAGTAAGATCCATTTTTCTGAGATATTTCTGCATTCCTCTGAAAAAAATAATTTGTCCAAAGTTAACAAAAACAAGGTGTTAAATTTGAGTAGGTTTTGAAAATACTCAGACTTTTTTTAGTCTCAAGTCCTACATAAAATACATTAAAATATCTTAATTCTTCCAATCCTAGAGCTGGAAAAGTTGAGCACCCTCACTTTACCCAGAGGCAATTTTGTGCCCCAGGTGTCAAAGCTCTTTATCTACTCATTTGCTAAGGCTCCACCAGTACTTCTAGATCAGGCCCTCTTTCACCTGAAGGATTTGCCATACTTCTGGAACCACTTTCCAGGTTCCTTGAAATAAATATCTTCACTTTGCTGGGGATCTTAATTTCTTGTTAAGTAGTGAATGACCCTTCTTTCTTCCCCCCAGCCACCGTCCTATTTCACAGAGGAAGAGAATGACCAGCAAAGATGCCACTCTACTACGGAGAAGTAGCAATTGATAAAAGGTCAAATCTTACAAGGTGCCAACGTGAAGAAAAAGGCCCACTATCCTGCAGCCAACTTAGTCTTTGCCGGGCTAGACTACAGCTTTTCATTTTGTCTCTCTTACCACTCCCTGCCTGCCTCATCACCAGGTGGTTGTCGTTGTCCTTCCCGGCTAGTTGCCAATAAAGTTGTTACAAAGTGACCTTGAGTGTCTTCCTTGCTGTACTCGAAACCCCGCCTTCTTCATCCGGGTGCTGCGGCGCCAATAAGAGCCGGACCGCGCCTGCGCGCTAAGCCCCATTTCTTCGACCTCTGGCGCACCCGGTTCCGCTGCTACCTCTCGGGAAGGTAAGTGGAGGACACAGGGAGCTCGGCCTGGCCAGGGCGGAGCAGCGCCCAATAGGGACCCATTCATTGTGCCAGCGCCTCACTGGGCACGGGGCCCAAGCTGACGGGAGCCCGCGGGGCCTCGGTGGGAAGGACAGGCCCCTGGAGGGCACTTGACCTTAAGCCTTTTTTCCTCCGCAGAGAGGAAGCGGGAGAGGAGCCCACGTAGCGTGTCACACAAGACCTCCAGCCGCGTGGTCCCGAAGAGCGTAAGATGTTCGCTTGCGCCAAGCTCGCCTGTACACCCGCTCTGGTGCGTAGCCCAGGCAGGGCCGGGGGACTGAGGTCTGGCTGGGCCTCTTGGCCTGGAGCGTCCACATTGTTGAATGGGGCAATCTTCGGGCGGGGCACAGCGCCCGCTTGGGAACGACTCTCTCCTCACCCATTAACCCATTGCCCTTTTCTTCCTTTCCTCCTAATCTTACGGTATCTCAGCCCTCTCCTCGCCACAAGGGCGATGGAGAGCAGCCAAGGCCTGTCAGGCCTCTCTGGGTGTAGGTCAAACCCTCCTGTCCCTAGGCCCGGAGCGACTCTTTCCTCCGCCTCCTCATCCTTTGTTGGATTGGGGTCGACGCCAAGGTTGGGGTACTGCAGAGGATGTAGGGGCTGCTGAGGCCTAGTTCACCGCAGCAGCGCTTTCCAGTGCCTGTCTGTAGGTCAAACTCGATCCTGCAGAGGGAGGGACTTTGCCTTTCCGTGTGGGGGTGGAGGAAGATGGTGGGGGAACGAGCCCAAAGTCTTTCTTGCTGCCTCTTGAGTATGACTTTCTTAACAGTTTTGCAGGCTTTAAGTGAAGTCTAAATCTGGAGGATTTGTCTTCGAGAATCAGGTCTTGGTTCTGAAGGGATTTTTCTATGACCTTAGTTTAGTGGACACTCAAGGGCAGAGAAGTTGGACCGGAATATGTCCTTATGGTCGGATATTTCAGAGATTATTCTTAAACTGATGTAGAATTGCTTAAGTTCCTTTTAAAAATTTTGTGATTAATGGTCATACAGAAATATCTTGAAAATGGTCAGGGCTCATGTTAACTGCTGGGCTATTTTGAATGGTAAACATTTATAGTGACACTCCTAATGTACTTGTTGGGTACACTTAAACTTGCCAAAGAATGTATGATATTTATTGCTTTTTTCTGACTTGAATTATGGGACTACAATAATAGAAATATCAAAAGCGGTTCTTAATCTCTTTGCAACTGTTATTAGAAATTTTATTCAGAGTAGCAAGCTTCACAATTTCATTAGCATGAAATTTTATTAAAATTTCTTCATGTACTAAAAATGACCAAACAGCGAAGAGTCAATACAGAAGTCTCTGATTCATTTTTACTACTTGATTTTTTTAGAATTCATAGCATCTGAAAAGTCGTTGAAGTCTTACCTGTATTCTTTCTTAATACTGGAATCTTTTTTTTTTTCATTAATAGATCCGAGCTGGATCCAGAGTTGCATACAGACCAATTTCTGCATCAGTGTTATCTCGACCAGAGACCAGGAATGGAGAGGTAATAGCAGCAATAATTGAAATTAGGTAACACTACCAAGTAAGGGTTTTGATTAGAGTGAAGGAAAAAAACTTTATTAATGAGTTTTAGGGCGATTCTTTTCACCCTTCTATCCAAAAAACTAGATGAGCCAAATAGAGAAATTTCTCTATCCAAAACTTGGCCAAGAAATACTGTAGTGTTTATGTCTATTGATTTAAGTTGCCTATATTTAAAATTATAATAGCTACAGTTATTGAAAAATCTACTTTCTTGGGCTGGATGCAGTGGCTGACACCTGTGTTCCTAGCACTATGGGAGGCCAAGGCGGGAGGATTGCTTGAGCTCAGGAGTTCAAGATTAGCCTGGGTAACATAGTAAGATCCTGCTGCTACAAAAAATTTAAAAATTAGCCTGGCCTGGCAAAATAGAGAAGTAGTTATTTTGACAGTATGGTACTTAATTAAAATAGCTACCTGTGATTACTGATAACGACCTTTACCTTTATTTCCTGTTTTCTAGGGCTCTACGGTATTTAATGGGGCCCAGAATGGTGTATCTCAGCTAATCCAAAGGGAGTTTCAGACCAGTGCAGTCAGCAGAGACATTGATACTGCTGCCAAATTTATTGGTGCGGGTGCTGCAACAGTAGGAGTGGCTGGTTCTGGTGCTGGTATTGGAACAGTCTTTGGCAGCCTTATCATTGGTTATGCCAGGTAATCACTTCTGTCCCTAAATAAGTTCTTTTAAGAGCATGCCTGAAATCACTGGAAACTTAGAAAGCTGCTGTTTGCATTAAGTGCTTACTCTGTGTCTTGCATTATATTTAAAGGGCTTTGTATGCATTATCTCACTTTATTCTCATAACACCATTTGCGGTGTTATTAGAGTAACACCTGTGAAGGACTAGAGACACAGAGGTTATATTACTTGTCCAGGTCATAGCTAGTAAATGTCAGAAAATGAATTTTAACTAAGTCTGACTTCAGAGTCTGCATTCCTAATTGTTAAGCTATATTGGGAATATAATTATTAGAGCACATTCCTTTAAAGGATCAATTTATTTAACACCTAAACTGTCAGATTTTAAAAGGTATAGAACATAATTTCAGAGGAATAAGAATGTCAGAAGCCGTCAAAATGTGTGACAGCTCCCTACCTTTATGCTGTATTATCAGGATTGAGGAGAACAGAGTGTGAGAGAGACCTAGGCAAATAATCTTTCAGCAGACTTTTCAGTTTACAAAAATCCCCACACTAGTAATCTGATTCTTTAACATTTACCAAACATGTTGAAACTAATATTTCAAAGTAACAGTCGTATGTGGTCTCTTTTAGAAACCCTTCGCTGAAGCAGCAGCTGTTCTCATATGCTATCCTGGGATTTGCCTTGTCTGAAGCTATGGGTCTCTTTTGTTTGATGGTTGCTTTCTTGATTTTGTTTGCCATGTAACAAATTACTGCTTGACATGTTGGCATTCATATTAATTACGGATGTAATTCTGTGTATCTTACTGTGACTCCAAAAACTGTAGTATTGGTGTCATGGAAATATATATTGTTTCCAAAGTCACTTCATTAAAGATGAAAACTTTAATTTCTTCTGTGATTTGTACTTACACTAAGTTTAGATAAGAAGAACGTGCATTCAGGCAGATGCTGTCCAATTCAAAGGAAGCTACGGCAGTTGTTCCACTGATGAAAAATATCCCAATGTAATTTTTATGGGAATTCTTTTATATAGTGTTCTGCACATTGTAATTCATGGGGCTTTTGTTTATTCATATAAAGGATAAATATTTGGGTGTTTTAAGCTTCTATAAAATATTAAAGATAGTTAATACTCAAGATGGTCTTGTGTTTTTAAGACTAACCTCAGAATACATCAAATCAGAACCACCTTCCATCAAATCAGAATTACCTTCCAAATGATTGGTTCTAAAAATAAATCACATAAGCTTTTTAGGGAATGAAGCCTTAAGCTGGGGGATAATGTGATTTTTGTTTTTCAGTAAGTTTCATATTAAGCAATTGTGTGCCTATAATGAATCTTTCATGTCTTTTCAGAACAGGGTCAGTCCAACTAGCAGCTAGCTTTTTACTTGAACAAGACTATTAAAAACCAGATATCAAAAAGTAAACTGAATTGGCTAGATTTTTTAAGCCAAAAGTTGCTGTAAGCCAGTATTTATCACTGTTGCTCACATGTGTATAGTGAGAGTCTTTGGGATGATAGCTGGTTCAATAGTATTTTGCTTCTAATTTATGTTGCTTCTTGATCAAACTTTTCCCATTCAAAGGAAGTAGGTGGTGCTACTATAGACAGTTTTTCCCCTAGCAAATTATATTGTACCATGTTATCTATCATCCAAGTTTCAGGGTTTTTTGAAAGTTAAGATGACAATTCGGAAAGCTACATTTTACTTCTTTTAGTGCCCTTTGCCTGTTTGGTTTCCATTGAGAAAGAGTAGTCAGTTAACAGAGTTCTTCAAGTGTGGTGAGAAGACCACCTCCATCAGAATCTGCTCTTTTAAAAAATAAAAATCCCTAGGTTCCAGACCTACTGAATTGGACTCTTTAGATATGAGATTCAGCAAGCTGCATCTTTAAAAAGGCGTCCCAGGTGATTTTTGTGCATACTGTTTGAGGATCACTAAATTATACATTACCTTCTATAAAGTGAAATGAGGCCCAAAAAAGCTAGAGGTAGAGCTGCTCCCACTTTTTTGTTGATCCATCATCTAGTCTATATCAAATATGAAATTTCTGGAGCCCAAGCTATTTTCTTGAACAGCACTACTCAATATTTCAACTGAGCAATGTAAATAAGCACTATTATATGACCCAGCAATTCCATGCCTGGATATACACCCAAAAGAATTGAAAATCAGTATTCAAACAAAAACCTGTATACAAGTAGTCATAGAAGCACTACTTAACAATAGCCAAAAGGTAGGAACAACCAAATGTCTATCAGCCAATGAATGAAAAAGTAAAATACATCCATATAATAGAATATTCAGCCATGAAAGGGAATGAGGTGCTGATACATGCTGAATAAATGTGAGTGAACCCTAAAAACACGCTAAGTGGAAGAAGCCAGACACATGATTCCATTTATATGAAATATCCAAGTAGTGACAAAGCCAATTAGTAGTTACCAAGAACTAGGGAGAGGGGAGAATAGGGAGTGCCTGCTTAATGCATATGGGGATTTCTTTTAAGATGATGAAAATGATGAATTACAGCTGGTCCTATGGTAGTAGGTTATCAGAACTTAGTCTCATTAAAGTTGGTATATAGCCCCTCACTGCTAAATTTGGCTTAAAAATAATTTAATTTGATGAATTATTGGTAATGGTTGTACAACATTGTAAATATACTATCATAAATGTCACTGAATTGTACACTTTAAGGTGGTTAAAATGGCAAATTTTACATATCTTCTACTGCAATGAAGTACTGTACTATTTAATACAAGTACATAGTATAAAATTTTAAAAGTGATAGGGAAATGCTTAGATTAATAGTCATCTGTTCCAAGTGTATTTTAAATAAAATCAGTCTTGGTAATAGACCTGTTCTTGGTGCTGGTTTTGGTGGTTAAAAAGGCCTGAAACATTGATTTGGAACAGGTTTAAGAGATGTCCCAGCTGAGGGAATCTCCTGAGAATGTAAAGGGACTAGCTGAGCTGTGGCCTGAAAAAACAAGAACAAAAAAACCCCACACACAATGACTCAAACTTTATAAAGGGGAAAGGGAATAAAAAATAGTGCATCAAAAGTTTAACATCCTTGAGTATATATCCTCTTACTTAACTTTTGTTTCTAGTATCAAAGTTATGACATTGAAAGGACATCATTGGAATGCATCTACTCCTAGCAGAAATGTTTATTGTGTACCATTTTTATAGGAAGTACTGCCTCAGCTTATGAGCATTGCAAACAAATATTAATGCCAAATGAATCTTAGATTTTGAACAGAAGCTGATATTTTTCTGTCAAAATAGATTTTCTATGTTAATACGATGGTGTTGGTAAAATGGTAAACGAGTGGCAGTCAGTCTTAAGATGTTCAGAGGGAGTAGAAATAGTTTTATAGTTAACGAGTCACATGAAAAAGTACTGTTTGTAACTTAAGACAAACCTTAAAGAACCATGTCACAAGGACAGGCCAGAAGAGGGCATCTTGGCTAGTGAACAGCATGAGGAAAAGTAAATCAGCACAGCGTTAGTACACAAGAAACAAGGAATTGCCTGAGTATAAGACAGAAATGGTATTAGGTAAGGTTGTAAAAGAAGATTGGGGCCATTTTATATAAACAGGCAGGTATAAGAGTGTGGGTTTTATTCATGTGATACTGTCAGTCATTCAAAGTTTAGAGCTGTATTTTAGAAAGGTTAAAAGGAGACTAGGGTATGGGATGGACCAGAGCCAGCAATGAACAGCAGTTCATACTATAGTAGCTTTGCTGAGCTATAATGAGGGCCTAGGATGGTGGCAGTGAAAACAGTTGACCCCTGAACAACATGAGTTTCAACTGTGCAGCTCCACTCATACATAGATTTTTTTCAGTGTGTTGAAAAATTTTTTGAGGTTTGTAACAATCTGAGAAAACTCTCAAACAATGTAGCCTAGAAATATCAAGAAAATTAAGAAAACCATATCAATGTATAAAATATGTAAATACTGGTCTACTGCATTATTTCCTGCCATAAAATTACACAAATCTATTACAACAATTTTAAATATATCAAAACATGCACATGGACTGTATATTGTGCCATTTACAATTGAGAGAAATACAAATGTAAAGATGGAGTAAATCAGAACTGCATAAAATTAACTGAAGAACATTCTGTACTACTGTAATAATTTAGTGGTCACCTGTTGCTATTATAGTGAGCTTAAGTGTTATGAGTATCCACTTAAAGTGCTGTGTGATGCTTATCTCCATGTGAGCAGTTCATCTCCAGTAAATTCTGTATCACAAAAAAAGTGATCTCTCACAGTTCTTGCATATTTTTCATTGGGCTGGTACAATATTATACATGTTGAATAACACCATGGGACCCATACAAAGTACTACTAGTGATGCTAGAAGTGCTCCCATGAAGCAAAGACATGACATTGCAAGAAAAAGTTAAATGGCTTGATATGTACCATAAAAGAGGCCCACAGCTGCAGTTGTCACCATTTCAGACAGACAATTCATCTTGTAAACATGATATAAACTTAATAATATTGATATAGTACTAGAAGTATATTTTATGATTTTCTTAACATTTTCTTTTCTCCACCTTTATTGTAAGAATACAGTATGTAATGTATATAAAGTGCAACACTTGTTTATCAACTTTATGTAATTAGTAAGACTTCTGGTCAACAGTAGGCTGTTAGTAATTAAGTTTCAAGGAAGTCAAAAGCTATATGCAAATTTTTGATTGCATGGGAAGTGGAGAGGGATCACTGCTCCAAACCCCCAACATTGTTCAAGGGTTAACTATATTTTAAAAAGAGTGCAAAGGTAGTATCAGTAGGATTTAATGCCTAGATCTCAGGAACCAGTTAGGAGAGGAGAGGGTGTATGCATCTAGTTAAGTGCTACTTCCTGCACTAGAGGCTTTACATATACTGTTAACCCTCATAACAACCCTGTAAACTTGGAATAATTTCCAAGATGCAAAGAAAAATAGGCTCAGAGGTTAAATAGTTCCCAAAATCACATAGCCATTAAGTGGCAAAGTCAGGGTCCAAATTTAGATCTTCCTTAAAGCCTAAATCTTCCTTCTATGGAAAGCTCCACTTATACATATATTTTTTTCAATATGTTGGAAAATGTATGTTGGAAAATATGTTGTATCGGCCGGGCGCGGTGGCTCAAGCCTGTAATCCCAGCACTTCGGGAGGCCGAGGCGGGTGGATCACGAGGTCAAGAGATCGAGACCATCCTGGTCAACATGGTGAAACCCCGTCTCTACTAAAAATAAAACAAATTAGCTGGGCATGGTGGTGCGTGCCTGTAATCCCAGCTACTCAGGAGGCTGAGGCAGGAGAATTGCCTGAACCCGGGAGGCGGAGGTTGCGGTTAGCCGAGATCGCGCCATTGCACTCCAGCCTGGGTAACATGAGTGAAACTCCGTCTCAAAAAAAAAAAAGAAAATATGTTGTATCAATCTGAAAAAACTCTCAGACAAACCATGTAGCCTGGAAATATCAAGAAAATTAAGAAAATGGTATGAATGCATAAAATATGTAGATACTGGTCTACTTCATTATTTACTGCGATAAAATTACACAAATCTATTATAAAATAGATTGTTATAATATCAATGTTATAATACTAGATTGTTATAGTTAACAATATATATAACATTGATATTATAACAACATATTGTTATATTTATTATAACATTGATATAACATTGCTCTGATTTTCTTTTTTAATGATACGGTTAGCGATGACAAGGAAAAAGCTGATTTGAGGAAATGATAAACTTTGTTTTTCACATAATTTTAAATACATGAAGTATAATTTTACAGATCTGGGCTTGAAAAGAGAAAAAAAGTATGTATAGCACAGACTTAATGTGCATAAAAGTACAGAGCTGCAGTAGGGACCTAGCTCCAGATAGGTAACAAATTGGTAGTGAACATCATTCACCTAGTTTTGTGACTCTCCAGCGATGTTGGGAAGCTTGTTAACACACACTGATATAAAGAGCAGTGAGGGTTATCAGGGTTGGGCACTGGGAAGAAGAGATAACAGAAGGTAAAAGTGTCTCTAGGCAGACGGCAAATAAGCACACTGTTCAACAGGAAGACCTATGAATTTCAAACCAGGTAAGGAACAAGGGAAGACACAATAAAGGTGATAAATTGAAATAACACAGAGGTTTCAGTAATGTTGAAACTCCGTTTCAATAAGAACCGAAAAATACACAAGAAATTTAAAGAATTTCAGAGTTCAAGATCTTGGAAGTCAGGCAGGTTCAACGAATGATCAAAATTTGTGATCAAGTTGCTGAGTGACTGAAGTTGGGTAGAAATAAATGTCAATGCCATTAATTTTAAGGTAGGATTATAGATAAATGGGAAATAACATTTGAGAACCAAATAAACTGTACTTGTGCTTCCCACTGTAAATTTTAAGTTCGGTTAGACAAACCGAACTTAAAATTTACAGCGGTAAGCACAAGTACAGTTTATTTGGCGAAATGGTTTAGTTAGTGAGTATGTTATTTAGTTATTTAGTGAACTACAAGTATAGTTTATTTAGTGAATATGGTTTGGTTTGGGTGTTGGGTGCTTGGAAGAGGAAAAAATTGTATTGTTGTGGTCCTACCTGCAAAGCCTTTAAAAATACATAGGAAATTGCAAATGAGTTGTTGAGTTCTCTACATTCTGAGCATATTGACATAGTTATTTCATAGTATAATTCTACTGACAATGTTATGGACTTAACACCCAAAAACATGGTCCATCAGTTACTTGCCCAGTTCTTTACATTATTAAGGGCAAAAAGTATTTTTTCTATAAAAACTGGTTAAAGTTCCCAGCAAGAATTTGCACTTCTTTCTCCTGAATTGACAAAAGTAATGTATCTCTTCTGAGATATTTAGTGACTTAGATTTTCCATCTCAAGGGAGCTTAAATATTGGAGAGAGGACCTAAGACCAGTTGGGTCCCATAAATCCAAGAGCTTTTGGTTGTTCCTCCCATTAGCACAAGCTAGCATCTTACAACTGATTATGGCAGAGACTCCTGAGAGGTCCCATGGTTGTTGTCAGTGGCTGCTTTTAAACAATTGATTTTAGTCAGCACTTACCAGCCATGGAGACTCCAGGATCACCTCTTATAATTGCACCCCAGGCTTTGCTTCCTCAAATAGCTACACAGGTTGACTGAGTCTCTCAGCTGCTAGACATCTCAGTATTTTTCCCTTAAGGCTTGTATCTAAAGGACAACTCACAGAATTCTCCCACTGCTCTAGAGCTATCTAAAATGTCTGTTACTTTCAAGTTCTCTAACGCTGTATTTAAAAAGCAAGCTTCTAATATTGAATGTTATTACACCCCTGCTCTATTTTCTCCATAGTACTTACCACAATTTCAGTTATCTTACTGTTTATATATGTAGCATGTCTTCCCCTGCCCCTGCACCCAACCACAAGAGTCTCCTGGAGGAACTTTGTCTTATTTATAGTTGTCATCTCAGAGCCAGAAACAGTGCCCGGAATGTTCATGTTCAATAAATATAGATGTTTTATGAGTAAAGAGAGCATTAGGTTGATGGTTGACCTATTTGGCCATCATGGACCAATGAGGCTGTATCCAAGGTAAGAAGGTAACTGAAAAGAACAGGATGTTAGTCTAAGGACCCAGGAGGATCCATATGCTGACAGACCTCCCTTAGTTTCCAGCAAAAGGATCACATGGCTTTGGTATTATGTGGGCCTCAGGTTGACAAATAGACTAGTTATGGGAAGCCATGAAAGGTAGGAGTGGTACTGTCTATTTTTATTAATAACTTAATATTGTATAAAGAGCAGAATATAATGATGGCAATCCCT